GTGAGAAAAGAGTTAATCAACACAAGAAAGCCCAGCCATCCTATGTCCATAGCAACTCAGTGCAAAGGACTGTGCATGCTTCTGTCAGAGTCCCTATGCTAGGTTCCTCCTGTTCATGCCAGTGACATCTGTAGGTCACTGAGACCTTGTGACCCAGCCAAGGGCCTCGGGAAACTTCCGGGCAAGCGATGGAGTGACTTCAGCAGAGCTGAGCCAAGCCTCTTGGCTGTGGGATCTGTGTTCCAGCAGATCATCCGCGTTCCTTCCTCCCTTCTGCACCTCCCTGCATCTCTAGAATGGTTTTTTCCTCTCCAGTCTCTTACATTTCCTTTCATTTGCCCATTTGCCTTCTTTTCTAAAGTTTGATTTATTAACCTAATGGCTTCTCCTCCCCAAGTTGGGATTTCAATTCAGCCTCCTTGGAAATGAATGGGTTTTCTTGACTCTCCTCGTTTGCATGGCAATTCTTTACATACTTTTTATCATTTTTGCCCTACTCTCTTGCTCCTATCATTTCAGGTTGATAATATTATTAACTGAAAAGGTTACTGCAGGGTAGTTCATTAGTAGTTTCCTTTCTTCCCAGTTCAGATGTGAATTAAGACACCAGTGATCAGAAATACAAATATGACTCAACATTGACAATATTATAAATTAAACATTGGCTTTCGTGTGTACTGTGCAAAAGCACTAACCCTTCCATGGCCATCTGTTTAAGTGAAAGCTCCCTCCTTAGCCTTTTGAGTTTCTGTAACGTTTCTCACTTACTGACTACTGCACACTTAAAAAATTTGTGGCAGCTTCATAAAAACAGAGAAGGGAATGGTGGCTGTGGCGAGGAGAAATGGAGAATTTCTACGAACAGGTGTAAAGTTTCAGTTATGCAAGAGGAAAAAGTTTTCGACATCTGCTGAGCGATACTGTGCCAACAGTTCACAGTATGGCCCTGTGCACTTAAAAATCTGTCAAGGGAGCAGGTCCCACGTTAAGTGCTCTTACGGCAATAATATAAAATCTAAAAGTGAGGACCAGTCTCTGCAGTGCTTGACTCCTCGCACCATTGACTTAGAAACTGTAAGGACAGACCTCAGGACCTTCCATCACAAGCATCTCTGTTCTGCTAAATAGAGAGGGTGGTGTGTGCATGTGTGTGTAGTCTGAGTGTGTGAGTGTGGTTTGTGTGTGTGTGCATGCGTGTGTAGTCTGCATATGTGTGTGCAGTCTGAGTGTGTGAGTGTGGTTTGTGTGTGTGCATGCGTGTGTAGTCTGCATATGTGTGTGCAGTCTGAGTGTGTGAGTGTGGTTTGTGTGTGCATGTGTGTATAGTCTGTGCATGTAGTCTGAGTGTGTGTGTGTGAGTGTGTACGTGTGTGTGAATGTATAGTCTGTGTGTGTGAGTATGTGTGTGTGGTCTATGTGTAGTCTGTGAGTGTGTGTGTGGTTTGTGTGTGCATGTGTGTGTAGTCTGTGTGTGTGCATGTGTGTGTAGTCTGAGTGTGTGTATGTGTGTGAGTGTGTGTGCGTGTGTGTGTGAGTATGTGCGTGTGTGTGAATGTGTAGTCTGTGTGTGAGTATGTGTGTGTGGTCTATGTGTAGTCTGTGAATGAGTGTGTGTGTAGTCTGTGTGAGTGTGTGTGCATGTGTGTGTAGTTTGTGTGCATATGTGTGTGTATGTAGACTCTGTGTGTGTATGTGTGTGTGGTCTGTGTGTGTGTGAGTAGTTTGTCTGTGTAGTCTATGTGAGTGTGTGTGCATGTGTGTGTAGTCTGAGTGTGTGTGTAGTCTGTGTGTGTAGTCTGTGAGTGTGTGTGTGTAGTCTGTGTGTGTGTGTAGTCTGTGAGCATGTGTGTGTAGTCTGAGTGTGTGTGTGAGTGGTCTGTGAGTGTGTGTGTAGTCTGTGTGAGTGTGTGAATGTGTAGTCTGTGTGTGTAGTGTGTGTGTAGTCTGAGTGTGTGTAGTCTGTGAGTGTGTTAGTAGTCTGAGTGTGTGTGTAGTCTGTATGAGTCTGTGTGTGTGAATGTGTAGTCTGTGTAGTCTGAGTGTGAGTGTGTGTGTGTAGTCTGTGTGTGTGTAGCCTTGTGAGTGTGTGTGAGTGTGCATGTGTGTCTGTGGTCTGTGTGTATGTGAGTAGTCTGTGTGTGTAGTCTTTGTGAGTGTGTGTGTAGTCTGTGAGTGTGTGTGTGTAGCCTGTGTGTGTGTGTGAATGTGTAGTCTGTGTGTGTAGTGTGTGAGTAGTCTGTGTGTGTAATCTGTATGAGTCTGTGTGTGTGTGAATGTGTAGTCTGTGTGTGTAGTCTATGAGTGTGTGTAGTCTGTGTGTGAGTGTGTGTGTAGTCTGTGTGTGTAGCCTTGTGTGAGTGTGCATGCGTGTGTGTGGTCTGTGTGTGTGTGAGTAGTCTGTGTGTAGTCTGTGAGTGTGTAGTCTGTGAGTGTGTGTGTGTGTAGCCTGTGTGAGTGTGTGTGTGAATGTGTAGTCTGTGAGTGTGTGTGTAGTTTGTGTGTGTAGCCTGTGTGAGTGTGTGTGAGTGTGCATGCGTGTGTGTGGTCTGTGTGTGTGTGAGTAGTCTGTGTGTAGTCTGTGAGTGTGTAGTCTGTGAGTGTGTGTGTGTGTAGCCTGTGTGAGTGTGTGTGTGAATGTGTAGTCTGTGAGTGTGTGTGTAGTTTGTGTGTGTAGCCTGTGTGAGTGTGTGTGAGTGTGCATGCGTGTGTGTGGTCTGTGTGTGTGTGAGTAGTCTGTGTGTGTGTGTAGTCTGTGTAGCCTGTGTGAGTGTGTGTGAGTGTGCATGCTTGTGTGTGGTCTGTGTGTGTGTAGTTTGTGTGTGTGTAGTCTGTGTGAGTGTGTGTGTAGTCTGTGTGTGTGTGTGTAGTCTCTGTGTGTAGCCTGTGTGAGTGTGTGTGTGAGTGTGCATGCGTGTGTGTGGTCTGTGTGTGTGTGTGTAGTCTGTGAGTGTGTGGTCTGTGTGAGTGTGTGTGTAGTCTGTGTGTGAGATCACTCTGAGCAGATTCTGAGCCTTCCTCCCTGGTTTTTTTTCCTGTCCTCACTTCCTCCTTTCAGTGAAGGCTTGGGAAGCCCCTGCTGCATCCTAGTGTCTGTTCCACGCCCAGAGAACGGAGCGGTGATCAAAACACACAGTGACTTGGTGTCAGGCGTCTCTTTGTGAGTGCCTCGTGTGCTGGCTGGAAGCCCGGCCCCCCTTTCTGTCCTGGGCACAAGGCTTGAGTTCCAGGACTGTGGTTTAAACCTCATTTAAATTCTGCCAGATCTCAGCTCGATCTACAAGAGCTGGAAAGATGAGTTCCTATTATATATTTGTTTTTTCACTGTTACTGTTTTATTATTATTTTAAATTGAATCATTGCATGTATTTAGGGGCACACTGATAATTCAGCACCTGGACACAGTGTGTAGTGATCAAAGCAGGGTGAACTGCAGGTGCGTTTCCCTTTGAATCTGAACACATTCAGCCGTGCCCTGGGAAAGGTTTGTGTGTCTTCTGCAGGCCACGTGGTCTCAGCTGAAAAGTGAATGAGCAGCAGGAAAGCGTGTTTGGAATCAGAGATTTGCATCTGAGTCAGTTTTGAAGTGTTTGAGTTAAATGTGAATATGAATTATACATAAACCTTCATTCATGGTTCTCCCTGACACGTCTCTCTGGCCTGGTTCACACGCTCCCTGCCTCTGCTGGTGTGAGCTCTGGGGGGAGCTTCAGAGGACTACCAGCAGCACCTTGCCTCCAGGGCACAGGACCCCACAGGGGGAGGGAGGATTGCACGGCCAACTGTGTTGGTCTGAGGGGCGAGTTCACTTTGGTGTGACTGTCTGCTGGAGGTAGGAAGAAAGCAATAGGGCCACTGAGATGGCCAGAGGTGGAAATGCCGTGGCCCCAGGTAGGTGGGTCTCCTGAGGAGAAGCAGACCACAGAGTGGTCCCTGTGGAGACAAAGGGGTGGTTCTTTGCAACCTCTATCTGTCAGCCATCTTTTGTAGGCTTCCTAGGGGCCTTTTGTGAGCTGGGGGTCACCCCCTGAAACTGATCAGCTAGGAATAGGAATATCTCTATCTCAGAGGCCTTAGACTTTTAAATATGTGAACTCTCTTTCTGTGTTTTGGATATTAGTTTAATAATTAAGAGCACATCTCCTATAAGTATGTAAATATTTTCAGTGAGGCTGCCATTTAAACTGGGAATGCCATCTTTTATCATCCACATGTTCTCAATTTCCCTATCTTAACATCTGCCAGCCTTCTCTTTGATGGTTGTTGGGCTTTGTGACTTGCTTGGAAATGCTTGTTCTCACCCAAAGACTGTGAGAAATACATTCTCATTTCTGTCAGAATTAACACACATATTTTATTGTAAGCTCTTCATTTGTATTTGGAGTTTGTTTTTGTGCCTTCTATGAAGCTGAGCTCTAACCTCATCCTTCCCCAAATGGGCCACTGATCATATGAGAACATTTATTAGACAACCCATTTGTTTTCTGGTTCCACACGCCTCTTGTCACGTCCTAAATGGTCACATGTAAGTATACGTGGGTCTGCGGTGGACTCTGCTCTTTCACGGATGGATTTGTCCATTCCTGTGCCAAAAGCACACATTTTTATGACTGTGGTTTTATAGATTGTATTGTTGTTTAGGAGGATGAATCTCTCTTCCTTGGTTTTGTTCCCCCACTTAACACTTTTTTGCTCATTGTGTGCATTTTTTCATGGACACAGTGATGCGATCTTTGGTTCTGCTCAGTGTCCACTGTTCTGTTTATTTCCATTCTGTGGGCTCTCCATGGGGTCCTGCTCTGGGTGAGGGGCTTGTAAACCCCGCTGCAGGGTGTCAAGCTCAGCTAGAGGACCTTCCCTGTGTCCCAGGGATAATCAGGGATGGGCTTGTCACCCTCTCAGACCAGGGTTAGGAGGAAGGAGGACTCCAGGGAGGAGCCGGGGATGCAAGTTCCCAGACGTAGGAGAGAGCTGCACCTGCTGAAGAGCTTTTTCCTTTCCAGGGCTGCATTCGACCTTGGAAACTAGGATGGCAATCTTGGTCCTGCCCTTGGAGAACCAGGCTGAAGATGAAGACAACATCTGCAGGAATATACGTGGCAGACCCTCGAGCTGCAGAGAATCCTGACCCTGGTGAAACCCAGCGACCTAAAGCAGTCCCATCACTGGACTTTCCGGTAAACGATCCAGAAAGCACCCCTTCCCCATGAAGTCTCTGGATTCCTTTACTCGAAGCTAAGGACATCCTGACAGAAGGACACACACTGCAGCGTTAGTGGCTCACCCCTTCCTGCTGCCAGGGGAGGACAGAGCGATACAACCAGTTAGATATTTTTGAGCCTCGTACTGCTCTGTTTTCGGTCTGGGAAATACTTAGTTGAATGTTTTCATCATAGACGTCAGCACTGATTGGAGCTCCTCTGCCCTGCGGCAGGCCCTGCCTGTGCTGGAGGCCTTTAGGCAGGCCCTGCCTGTGCTGGAGGCCTTTCTGGTGGAGTGAGCTCTCTGCTCCGCGTCCTCCTGGGCCTCAGCCACTGAGATGCTGCATCCTGCCCTCTGCTCCGACACTGGCCCGCCCAGGTGCTGCTGGGAGTCCCTTGAGGAAGGGGTCAAGCAGCCATGCACTTGCAACACTCTGTGCTTTAGCGAGGCGTTGGTGCCTTTTGCATTGAGTCCCTGCTGTTCTGTTTCCTTCTTTAGGTGTTAATGCCACGTGCTCTTTTAATGATGCCTGTAACCTCAGAAAGGTTTTGTCAAACACTGTTAGGGAAGTGCTTATGTGCGTTTAATGTTTTTCCCTTCCCTGTTGGGAGCAAACAGCTGCTGTTATAAGTAGTGAGGCCACTATAACATGTTTGCAAAGGTTCACACCCCTCTACTCTCAGAAAATAACCCCACGCCCACTTAAAGAGAGTGCAAGCCAGAAGCTGTATGTGTACACACACACGCGCAATGCCCACATACATGGCTTTTACAACACAGGATGTAAGAAGGAACAGAGATGTCTTCCATAAGCCTGCCACCAAAAGACAGCCATTCTTAACTTTCATATCTCTTATTTCCAAATGCCTATTTTCAAAACACTTCCCACCACATTCGATATTCAAATTGCATCCTGCTTTTTGAAATTGAATTTTTATTTTAATTGACAAATAATTGTTGTGAACATGGGGCCAAATGTGATGTTGCGATAGGTGCATGTGTTGCACAGTGATTACATCCAGTCAATGAGCAGAGCCATCATCTCACCTACACTTTGCATGTAACAGTGCCCTAAGTGCTTCATAGTGCGTCTGCACAGACACGATTTTCCAGGGCCTCAGAGCATGTTCATCGCAGATACCATCAGGAAATAGATTCGGTGGCTTCCAGTGGTGTTCTCCTGTATCTAGATTCCTCCTCTGTTCTCAGATGTGCAGGACCCTCGCTGCTGTAGCCTGTAACCAACCAAGCTAAGACTGCATGGAGAACCTCACTTTGCCACAACCAAATTAACCTTATTACTTCATGAGTATCACTATAAGCCTACACAGGATTCGCATCCAGTGAAGAATAGGAGCTATGAAAAGGGAATTCTAACATGGCACAGAAAAGTTGTGAACTTTGGGTCCCAAGTGATTGTGCCCTAAATTCAATGAGATTGCCCCAATAGAGGTTAAATTGTGTCCTGGGAGCCCTTGTGTATGGCCTTGTCTCTGTTGCTGACTGCTGTGTGTCTGCCTGCAAGAGAGAACTTTTATCATAACTTCACCAACCAGGTGGTCGAGGACACAGAAATCCGTAATCGAATCCTCTAAACCTGTACTCAGTATGGAGGCAGACTGGGGTGATGCTGCCGCACACAAGGAGTGTAAGGAGCCTGCGGGAGCAGAAGGGGCAGTATTGGGTGGTCCTGAAGGTGCTTCCGAGGGAGCCCGGCCTGCTGACGCCTTTGTTTTGGCTTTCTGGCCCTTGAAATCAAGTGTTTCTAGAACGTCTGAGCTTGATACCAGGAGCATTCCGAAGGGCTCCGACCTACCGACCTCCGTGCCCCTCATCTCCCTCCCTCCTCTACCACTTTGCCTGGGTGAGCTCACAGTCCACGTGTCCTGCTTTCCATGGCCTGACGCGTCCTAAGAGCACCGTACTCATTCCCCTCCCCGGACGGTCTGTGTGCCCTCCCCTCTGCCGTCACACTCATCCTTGCCTTGCCTGGTTGGGGTTTTGAATGACATAGTGTGGCATGGGATATGTGAGCTTTGTTTCCACTCCTGGCAACAGCACTGTGCTGGGCAGGCTATCTGCACTTAACCAGACTCGACAGTGCTTGATTCACCTTTAACATCCCGGCTGCACCAAGCCTGGACTTAGCGTGTGATAAATACAGAACAACGCGCACAGCTGAGCGGCATTGGCCTTTTCTGTAAAAGCGATGACTGCGGTCTGCTGGGAAACATTCTGAAGGTTAATGCCCCAGAGTGCAGGAGAGAAAATGAGCAAAGAATTGCTTCCAGTCAGCTCAGATACATAATGATTTTGTGATGTTTCCTAATTACATTTTTTATTGGAAAGTGTATCTAGATGCTCACATCTCCAAAGGCACAGCCACAGAGAACGGCAGGATTTGGAGACTTCTCGTTGAGGACTCTGTCATTAAACATTTATTTAGCTTCCCAATTTTTTTTAGAAATTCAATTCTTTTATGAAAACAAAGTGATGACAATGTGGTTTAAGATAGATATTGTTTAATTAGATCATAATTTTTGGAGGAATGATTCCTATCAAGAGTTATTCTTCGTGGTGAAACATTCAAAGTCTTCTCTTTCAACTATTTTGAAGTAAGTGATGTGTTATTAGTGACTGCAGTCACCCAGTGGGACGGCAGGGCTTCACCCTGGAACTCTGACCGGGAGCCCCTAGAGCAGGCTCATCCACTGCCGCACTCCATGGAGCAGTGACGTGTGTGAGGTGAGGGCGGTGCTGTTTCCTGACGTGGTTGTTACGTGCATGCACCATGGAAACATCACATTGCTCTCCATCAACTTGTGTCGTTGCTATGTGTCAGTCAAAATCAAAAGAAGACTGACCCCAAGTTCACAGGGGTTCACATTCATATGATGCACACTTAGAGATTTCTGTGATCATAGAAGGACAGTATTTAAAAGTAGGTGAGTCAAAAGAGAACAGTATGTCTTTAAAAATGTCACAGAGGCCTTTTCCCTCAACTGGACTTTGTTCCAGGAAGTAAAATTCAAAATACCATATATTTTAACAAATGGCAGTATTACACAGCATTTTTTCCTTTTCTTTTTAAAGTGGCGAAGTTGCTTGTGATAAATTTTCTGGCTGAATGACTAAAAATTTTCTGAAAAGTAACCTTTCTGTCTAACCATCTTGACCTAGTTGTGCTTAGTTGCTCTTTCCAGTAAAAAAAAAAAAAAAAAAAAACAGAAAAATCCATCCAAACCAGAGAAAAAGAAATTGAGCAAATAATGGTTTCCGAAGCAAACTTCTTCCTGCTTTGTTTCTTCATGACTTTGACCTCTTTAGAATTATTCCCACTGGTATTGTGTTAGAAAAATTACTATTTGAGTGAATGGAATAATAAATTATGGCATGATTAAAAATTGTGGATGGAGGTAGTGCTGCCAAGAGCAGTTTTTGAGGTGCTCCATGTTTTTGTTCCACTGTTAGCCTTGTGTGTCTTGCCTGGGCCTGGCATGTTGCAGATTTTCAGCAAACGTACTTCATTGTGGAAACGCAGAGCGCGGAGGATAGAATAGGCACTCAACAACAGCGAGGTCATGTGTACAATCCATTCAGCCACAGCACGTGTCGGGAACAGGTGCATGCTAGAGAAGCTGAGCGACGCTTAGCGTTCTGAGCTTGGCTCATTTAGAAGTGATGGGCACACGAGGTTTCTACTGGTCGTCTTCCTAGTGGAAATGTTTCCCTCTGATGGCACCAGGGCTGTTGTGTTAACATAGTTTGCTTAGCCAGGGCAGGCACTGATGGGCACGAGGCAGTTTGCAGTCTTGCTGCTCAAACAGTGCTCCTGTGAATATCCTTGGGCGTGGTCCTTCCCCAAGAGTGTGAGGGTGCCCCTAAGATGAGCTCCTCTCAGGGAATCACCATGCCAAGCATACAAGCCTCCTCAGTTATGCTAACAAGGCCATGGTGCTCTTTGAAGAAGTAATACTAAAAAAGATCCGCCAACCAGCAACATTTAAGAAGAGATTTCTGTATACTTTTGACAACGCTTACTAAACTTGGGAAAAAATTTTTTGGTGCTCTAATAGTTGAAAATAGTGTCTCTTTCCGTTTCTATTGTAATTTTCAGGGGAGTGAGACTGAATTTCTTTTTTCCCCATTTTCTTTTTTTTTAAGGTATACAAATTTCATGTACTTCATGTATACAGATTTAGGAACATAATGATACTTACCATCCCACCCTCCCTCCCACCCATGCTCCCAGCCTTCCTCCTTCCTTTCCTATTTCCTCTCTTAGCTTCCACGATGTTCTACTTTCAGTTTACTTTATACTCATAAGATTAACGCTACACTAAGTAAAAAGTTAAACAGAAGAAAAAAATGTTGCTTAACAGTAGAGACAAGGGCTATAAACAATCATCAAATCTCAAAATGTGAATTTCACTCTTCTTTTTATATATTTGAAAATATTTATTTACACTTTTTGCCCATTTTTTCCCATTGGATTGTTGTGGCTTTTGCTGATTTGCAAACGTTCTTTATATTTTAAGATATTAGCCATTTATCTGTGGTATGTGTTATGGATATTTTCCTAATTTTTATTATTACTATTACATTGTTGTTGATATTAATTTTTGCCATGTAGTAAATGTTAATTTTTCATGTAGTATTTTATAGCACTTGTCAGTATTATTTTAGTTCTTTTATTTTGCTTGAACTGCCCTACTCTGAGTAAAATGTCTATGTTTTTGGGTAGGATTTTTTAAGGTTTAGTATTTAAACTTCCCTTCTTAGTTCATCTAGGCTTTATTTTGATGTAAACAATCACAAACAAATCCAAATACATTATTTCCCCAAATGTTAGGTAGACTGTACATCCGTACACACATATGAGGGGAATTAAAAAAGTTGATTTTGGTGCAGTTTTTGTGGAAATTCATGCATGTTTTTTCTTATTAAGCATTTCCGTAATCTTTCTGAAGACCTC